TTTTAGGTTTTTTATTTTTTTTTGGTATTGTTATTTTGGTTTTCTTTTTTTTTAGAAATTTCATTGTTTCCCGGTTAATTAAATACGTATAGGAAACTTTTTGAAATTTTAAAATTTATTTTTATCAAAAAATGAAACGCTCTTTAGATTACAATTACAAACCTACAATTGTAATTTCATAATCGTTATTTTACAATCAATAATTTTCTAATCTTTAATCGTAATTTTACGATCAATAATTTTTTTAATCTTTTAACAAAAGAAAAAAAAAGGAAATTTCTAATTTCATGAATAAAGACAAAAAAAATGAAAGAGCCATGAAACCAAAAAAAAAAAAAAATTAGTAATAATATTCGTTCGATAAGCTATGAATGAAAATGAAAATAAAAAAAAAAAGAAAAATGGATTGTATTATGCAAACAATTTCACATTGTTCGTTTCCTTTTTCATTCATAAAATTGTACTGTAAAATGCTATTTCCATTTTTTAAAATCGAATAGAAATCATTATTGTAAGTATTTATGGGGAAAAAAAAAATCTATGATCTATCGTTTTACAAGAAAAATTTTTGATATTTAAAATTTATCGTATAATTTCAACAATATTTTAATTTCAATTAAAAATATTGAAATAAGAAATTTGTAAATTTTGAAAAATACAATTTAATTACCTGAAAGTTATTTTTAGGCATTCATTTGTAAATTTTTCGTTTCATTGCAACAAATCAACTGAAAATATTGAAATAACAAATTTGTAAATTTCAGAAACTTGGAAGTTATTTAGGCATTATTACCTGGAATTTACCTGGATTACCTGGAATTACCTGGAACTTACCTGGAAGGATTGTTTAGTCATTCATTTGAAAAACTTTTATTCATTTACTACTAAAAAAAAAAAAAAAAACATTGTTACTGTTCAAATATTAAGAATTGACCAAAAGCCAATAATATCCAATTGGAATCACTTAAAATTTCGTGAAATAATTCGAATCTTTGAAGAGTTTGAAATAAAATTAATTTGTATATTGGAGAAAAAAAGAAAAAAAAAAGTAATGACCGATCTTATCTCATTAATATATATCACTTAGCTACCATAGCAACTGCATCAGATAGAATAATTTTAAATTATAATGAAAAAAGAAAAAAAATTTCATTAAGGAAATACTACACAAACTGATTAAACATTATAAATTGATTTTATTATAAGTTCATTTCTGAAGATTTAATTTCCGGTCAAAAATTTAAATTTAATTAATTTCAAATAAATTTAGTAAATTTCATTTCATTTGAATAATAATGGCATTGAATAGTATTGTATACAAATAAATTAGAAAATTGAAAAAAAAAAAACTTTCCACGGATATCTAATTTGTGGTGAAAGTTACTGTCAAACGTTAGCATTCGTTACATTCATTTCCATTAATTATTATTACAATTATAATTTCGCATATTCTCATTTGTTACTTAGAATACAGTAATTCTTTAATGAATATGGTAGTCATCAGATTATTATTATTACTATAGTTTTTTATATCATACTGATATTTGATGTAACAAATGATCTATGTTAACCATTAAAATAAGGACAAGAAAAGAAGTTGTAATTAGATTGGTGACAATGTAATACATTTATAAATTACTGAAATTAGTTTCATTTTTTTTTTCCCATCGAAACTATATAATTAATATAGATTTTTCGTTTAATTTATTATTAGAAAAGCTTTTTGAAAATATTTTTAACATTAAATTTTTTTTTAAAGAAATTATAAAAATTTCTAATAATTGGAAAATATTAAACGAATAAATTATACAAAAAAAATTTATATTATCTATATACATCTAATTATAACTAAGAAATTTCTTGTATGAATAAAATACGTTAACAATAAGCAAAAATATATGTTAAAATATAAAAATGATTCATATCAAATTAAGTATACTGTATCTTTTCAATGTTATTTTTTATTATTTTAAATGAAATAAATAAAAGAGATTTAATTGTAATTTAAATCATATAAAATAAAATTATAAGAAGAAAAAGCACATAAAAAATAAAATTATAAGAAGAAAAAAAAGGCGCAATTATAAAATTATAAGAAAAGAAATTCTAAAGCATATAAAAGTAAAAATTATGAGCAAAAAAAAAAATAATTTACTTCATTTAAATAGCAAAAAAAAATTTTAACATATATT